TCCCTACACACTTAAACAATTCCTTCTGTTCACTCCCTCACCTCCTTCTTCTGCCCCAACTCTAGTTAAATAAGCAAAAATTTCAGATTTATCACTCTACCGTCTGTGACTCTAATCAACGATACACGTGTTCATTCATTCATTCATTCCTTCGTGCAAGAAACATTTACTGAGCACCTACTATGTGCTGGGCACCAGGGACAAAAAATGAAGAGGAAACAGTCCCACTTTCTAGAAGCATATAGTCTATTGGGGAGACAGCTAAGAAAATTGATCATTTCAATATGAAATGATACATATCTAAGGCCTTGTTGCTTAAAGTCTGATCATTGGACCAACAGTACTGGCATCACGGGGGAGCTTGCAAACCTGCAGAATCCTGGGCCCCTCTCCGTATGTATTTGCTCGAAAATCTGTATTTTCACAAGAGCCTCAGGAGACCTGCAAAAGCTTATTTAAAGTTTAAGAAGCACTGGTCTAAGCCACGGTCCCTGTTTTTCAGAGGCTTACAAACGAGTTAATCATTCAAACACACACATGCCAGAAGAATGCACAGTTCTCTGCGCTCAGGCATCCACAGGGCCATGTCCTAGTAATGTAAATAAGGAGGAGCAAAGCCAAGGGGCTTGGAGCTAGAACCACTTACTGAGCTGGGACAGGAACAGAGGAGGGATTGTTCCGTCGGGCCAAACAGACTGCCAATGGAAGGGCAGAAGCAGGAGGGAGATGGGGACCCCGGAGGGAGTCTTGGTTTAGCTAAGCCTTGTGGACTGCAAGTGGAGGCATCCAGGCCCACAGGCAGGTATTTGCACAGGACCGAGCGTAGCTGAAAGGGCAAAGCAAGTCTCCCGAGGAAGAAGGTAGCAAAGGCTAGTGCCCTTTGTTTTGAATCACCCGATTTGGGTTTGATTCCTGTCTCTGTGAGTTCAGCAAGTTTCTTAACCTTGTTGAGATGCATTTCCTCACCTGTAAAATCTGGCTGATAAGAGGTACCCCATAGGTGGCTGAAAGACTAAATAGTGTGTGTGAAGCACTTGGAGTTGGGGTTGCTTGGTAGGTACATAAGCTGACATTTGTCTCATGATGAATAGGTACCAATGACTGTTTTGAGAACTTTATACATTTTAATTGTGAACAACAACCCTATAAGGTTGTTGGCATTATTATTCCCATTTTACAGCTGAGAAGACTGAGTCACAGAGATTAAGTAACTTTCCCAAGTCACTCAGCTAGTAAGCAGCAGAACTAGGATTCAAACCAAGGCAGCCTGGTCCTGGCGTTCACGCTTGTCCACACTTACCCTGAACTGAATCCTGTAAAAATCATAGCTCGACATGTGAGAGATTATGATTCATCAAAATCACTATGAGTCCTGTTTAGGGGCTGCTGTCCTGGGCAGGTCATCAAATCCAAGACTCAGACATGGGGACCAAAGCAGAGGACAGGTCGGGAGCTTGCTGAGGGCAACAGCAAGGGTGGCCGGGCTGCATACAGGGATGTTTCTGAGCGGTGGCCTGGGCCACAGACAGAGCCCAAGCACCTCCCCTCAGTGAAAATCTAAGTATGATCCAACCCTGACTCTCTTCCCCTGTGTCCCCTGCCCCAGGCAGCTGATCTCGAGGTAGGTGTGACTGTCACCCAGCTAACAGCTGGTCAGATCTGGGCAGAAGCAGGTCACAGCACTGCTTTTAGTGGCTTCCTTCAAACCACTGGACTTACTTTCTCTTTTAGGCTGATTATATGAGGTGTGTACTGGCTGATGTCATTCCAGTTATTAATTTGAGGTTCTGGAAATCTATAAGAAAGCCGCTGCGGTCTATAGGAAGCCAGAATGATTCCAGGTTTGAGGCAGTTTGCTGACAGGGTGGGCTGTATTGTGAGCTAACGCTGTGGAGAGGCCCTGGTCCCGCAGCTCACCAGCAGCTCACCCAGGGAAATTATTTAATCTCTCTGAGTCCTAATTTTCTCATCTGTAAAAAAGGGAAACAGACAATGGTGCCGACTTTGTCAGCTTTTGTGAGATAGCTGTGAAATACTTTGCACCCATTGCTGGTACTCAAGTAAGCATTAGTGACCACCACTATTATTGTTCTTATTTTTATTACCCAAGCAGCTTCTTTTTTAAAAAATTTTATTTTCTTTTTTCCAAGCAGCCTCTTTCATGCTAGAGGACCACTGAAAACAGGGAATTAGAGCTCCTCTTTGTCAAATGTTTGCCATTACATCCCACTAAAAGGCTGTGTTATAGGAAAAAAAGGTAAGGGTGTGTGTGTGTGTGTGATAGTTAATGGTAATTTGCACCTGGAACCCTGAGCAAGTTTCGTTTGTAACATGGGTGGGAATCCTGAGCTTGAAAGAAAAAAATAGCAATAAAGATCTTGCCATAAATCCCCGACAGGAGGACAAAGAATTTTAAAGCAGGCTCTCAGGACTGGGTGCCATCACTAGACCTTCCCACCACCCTAGTCTTCCTGAGGCTTATTTAGCAGGTACATATTTAGGAAAATGTTCCAGTATTTCAAAACAAACCAGAGTACGTAGAGCCACTGAAATCTCCTCTTACTCTCTGAGCACGTGAATCATATGAATGTCAGCGTCAGTAGCTCTTAGCCTCTTGGGGTTCTCTGGGAAAGGACCTTGTGAAAGTCACAGCACACACTTCTGAGGCCACGAAAAGAAATCCTGCTTATGCTGTGGGCTTATCCCACACCAAAATATTTGTTGAATGATTAAAAGAAAACCAAGAAAACTAAGTAAAGAGGAAGGATTCTTAACCTGGATCCAAGCATCTCATAAACTACCTGAATGGTCAGCAACATTAGGTGTATCTCGACCTTTCTGGGAAGGTCTACCTACGCTTCTCAAAAGCTTGATGGTCCAAAATGACGTTTTTACTCTCCTGTGTTTCTTACTCTCCAGCCATCTCGGCAGCTGCTCTTGGTTGGGGACCATCCCACACCCAAGGCAGGAATCTGGGCCACAGAGAAGACAAAAACGCCACTGGAGTCCATCAACTCTAGGCCCCAGGGTGTTATAAAAAGTGGAAAGCGCATGGTGGGGTACAAGGTGACTCTGAAGATGATAGACTAGGAAGGCAAAGCAAAACTGGCCATCCTCGCCAATAACTGCAAAAGGCAAAGCAAAACTGGCCATCCTCGCCAATAACTGAGGAAATATGCCATGTCGGCCAAAACTGGTGTCCAGGACCACAGGGGCAATGACACTGAACTGGGCAAAGCCCGAAAGAAATACTACAGAGTATGCAAGGGGCTGTCACTGAGCCACGTGATTCTGGGATCTTTAGAAGTGGGCCAGATCCGACTGGTAAAAAGGAAACCATGTAAAATTCTTCCTCAGCTAAACTGGCTAGAGTTTATTGAAGGAAGGAAGGGAGGGAGAGAGAGAGAGAGAGAGAGGAAGGAAGGACGGAAGAGAGAAAGGAAGAGATGAATTACTGCTTTTTGAGCACTATTTTGAGAGAGGAAGTTGCATGCTATCTCCAGACCAAAGACAACTGGGTGAATCTGTGTCAGTTTGAGGAACAGCCACTTCAGACATCTGTATTCGACTATGCACCCCACTCCTGAGGCATGAGAGCAAAACCTCTCACTGCCGTCCACAGCCGTCTTCCCCCTCTTTCTAGAAGGCTCTCTCCATTCAGACCAGGTTCCCTCCCAGTTGTCCTTCAGGACTGTACACCCAGGTATAAGAGGCTGCTGCGCTTGCATAGTATGTTCCCTGAGAGGAAGACAGGCTGTTCCTTCCATCTCCCCAATTATTCCCAGGGGCGCCTTGGTACTCCCAGGGTACAAAAGCCTTCACACGATTGCTCAGACAACGAGAACCTTGTGTTTGCTGATTCCTGTTTGCAGCCTGGTCTGTGTCACCTGGTCATTGTTTATTCTGGACTCTAAACTGCCAGGGGAACACTGCTGTTCCTTCGGGGAGGAGGTGTTCAAAGCAAGAGTTGAACAACCAGACTTCAAAACCATTTTAAGCTTTGCAGCACTGTTTGCTGAGACTGGGAGAGCTGACTCTGTCGAAGCCTAACCTATAGCTTCAATTAATTCTGGACATTTTTATTTTTCATACTGTGTTAATACAACGGTTATCTTCTTTTAAAATCTTTGCAAATCTTATTTCTAACTCAGTTCCTCCCATCGTCCCCTGCTTATGGCTTGGAATTTTCAATTCACTAAGAAAGGGAGAAATTCTTGCTGGGGAATGGTTTTTCAGGCCCTCAAAGCCCTCACTATCTTTGTGTGGAAAAGCAAGGTTTTCCCCAGCAGCTTTGAAGAAGGTATTTTAAACATCTCATTTTGTTTGCTTCCCCCTCTTGGCTCTGTCCCACCCACAGGGTGACCCCGGCCCTTGTCTTTTCCCCAGAGCAAAGGCTTTCTATCTTAATAGCTGGCCAGCTTCCCCACCTCTGAACCAACATCGAGACTGCACTGCCCGCTTCCCAGCACTCAGCTCTGCAGCACAAATATTAAGCACCAACCCCTGCCCGCCCCCCCCCCCACCGTGACCTCTGGAGGCACACGGTGACCTCTGGTAGCAAGAGGCGCAGAATGCAGTGTGAAGCTCCCTCCTCCTTTACCCCATCAAAGCCTGCTTCCGATAGGATAGACTACATCCCTGCTGGCTTCGAGTCTGCTAGGAAGTGCTTCAGGCACTTTGGCCACCACAGTTAAGCATCCTGTGACCCTCCAACAAATTCGGTTTGGCCCCAGCTCTGTCCCCGGATCCTGGAAGCCACACTCATCCCTCTCATTCTCCCAGAACTGAACTGCCCACTCGACAGCCCACACGGCCCTGGGCTGGACTTCACGGGTCTTTGGTCCCTTCTCAGCCACCGTTTATTGATTTATTTTTTGAAAACTCACTGAGGCCAAAGATGGGAAACTTTAAACTTCTGCACGCTTCTCCCCGGGTCTCCTCACTGGATAAAGCTCCTAGGGCACAGAAGAGAACATCCCCTCACCTTCCCTTCCCCCCAGTCTAAAGCCAGGGTGTGAGTCTCTGCTTAGCAAACATCCCCAAAGGGTGTGCCCCCAATTTGAGCTCATTTGATCCAGTTGAGGAGCCAGAAGGAAGAATCATCCGCCAGTTCACGCACTCCCCACCCTACTCTCCCTCAGGCGTCTGCCCTAATGCCCTCCCGGGGCAGCTTGGACAGCTGCAGAATGTCAGCGCCAAGGGCAGAGAAAGCCAGGGCCGGGGGCGGAGGGGGGCGGGGGGGGTGGGGGGGGAGTGGGGGGAGCTTTGCACCTCCGAGCGACGTTAGCAATGAGAAAAATCTGAAAATGTGATGAAGGAGGCGATCCAGGCTGGATCTCAGGAAGTGAGGCCAGAGGACTGGGATGGGCAGCGGGGGTGAAGGCCTCGGCGGGGACCAGGCGGCGGGCCCACCCACCTCCTGATGTAGCTGCTGAGGCGGTACAGCTGTCCGTCGAGGCGCACGAGGCCGTCGCTGAAGACGTTGAAGCCCCCGCGCGTGGCCGCAGGCTCCGCGGGGCCCGGCACCACCAGCTGGTCGCCGCGCAGCTGGAAGGCGCCGGGCTGCAGGCGCAGCAGCTGGGCCAGGGGCAGCAGGGCCAGCTCGCAGTCGCACGTCCACAGGCGGCGCAGCTCCCCCGACGAGATGGAGGTCAGGCTCTGCCTGGCCGCCGGCGCGCT